TATTCAAGTATGTAAATAAAAATACACATATATTGATCGTAATTTCATTTATATAAATGAGTTTATAGATATTTTGATTATATATATTGAATACATACATACATATGTATGTGTGTGTGTTCAATTATTGTTATGTAAATAAAAAATAAGGTCATATGAGATAAACGAATCAAAAAAACAAATATTGGGTGTAAGCAATGAAAATGAATAGTCTAATTAATTTAATGTTTTGATAATAATTACATCAATAAAAAAACAAAGTTTGTGTTTTKTCTAAAAATTAGTATTGTGATGCCTAAAAATGTATCTTATTGTTGGTGTTTTTTTCTTACRAAATTACAAATTAAGAAACTATAAGAAAACATAATAAAAAAAATTAAGTGAATCCACAACAAAAGGAAAAATAATCAAAATTCTCACAAAATTCTAAAGCCTCAATGGAGACTTCTCTTTAATCCATGTTCCAATGTCTTAGACTTCTCTTTAATCCATATTCCAATGTCTTATTAYATATATTGATAAACTTGTGTATACTCTTCTGCCATAGATGATAGATGGAAAAGAAGAGGAGAGAGCGTACCTATAACTCGTACATGGATATGAAGAACACATAAATGAAAAAAACCTAAAGATTGAGGGATTTAGAGAAAAAACCAATGATTGAATGATTTAAATGTTAGAGTTGAAACATACCAAGAGAAGGGAAGGGTTTTTGAGTTAAATGTGAACATTAATTTGCAAAATTACTAAGGAAAAAAAATCAAAACGTGGAAAAGTGGTTTTTAGACGAGAGATGGAAAAGAAAAGCGAAGAGCGTACCAGTAATTTATAACTCGTACATGGAGATAGAGATGGAAAACACATAAATAGAGTTGAAACGTACCAAGAAAAGGTGGAAGCGTTTTTTGAGTTAAATGTACACATAAATAGAGTTGAAACATACCAAGAGAAGGGGAAGGGTTTTGAGTTAAATGTGAACATTAATTTGCAAAATTATTAAGAAAAAAAAAATCTAAATGTGGAAAAAAGAGGAAAATATGATCTCTACGTCGAGGAGATGTCACGTCAGCATATCATGATTCTGCTTTATAGATATATATAGATATAGATTATTTATCGTCTCTTAGGGGCCGTTTACCAAACACTTACCCGGTAAGTGCTTACCGGTAAAATTTAACATTATTATTTACTTACCGGGTAAGATTTTAGTCCATCAAAACGATATTATATGCAACAATTCACCTGGTAAGCAATTACCGTGGTAAGAGTCGTCGCCCTCACTTACCGGGTAAGACTCATAGTCCTTGTATCACTCTTACCGGGTAAAATTCTTAGTCCTTACCATATTCATCCGATGAGGTAATGTGACTTGGAAAACAGTTACCCGTGTAAGTGTTTGGTAAAGGCCCCTTAGTCATTATGGCCACTTAATCATTTTACGTCAAATCATTCATCATCTACCAAACAACCTTTTAGTCAAAATATTAAATATCATGGTTACCCAAAAAAAATATAATCTCGACTCATTACCAAATCCATCCATCCTTGCCAAGCAAAACAATTTACGGTGTGTTCGGTACACTCATGACACAACAATATATAATCTTGTCATCTTACGTTTGGCACAACATTGAAGTAGCACAAGACAAGACCCATGTGGACAAAAACACATTTTCTTTTTATCCCGTCAAATCAGGTGAAACAAAAATCAAGGAATTGAGACAAATTGGGTAAATTACTAAACTATCCATATCGAATTAAGACCTTAAAATCTCTCGCAATTCTTTCATCCGCTTACCCCACTCTAACCCATCCAGTTCTGTTTAGTCCAGTCTCGTTCATTCCTATCCAGTCTCATCTGCGTACCAAACAGAAACATGAAATGGAGATAATTATCTCTAAAGCACCAAATGTCGTGTATTATATACTACATGTTCTTCATCCATTTCCTTGTAGGTTAACCTACATCCACCAATTTTGGGAGGTAAAGAGACCATAGCACAGATGTTTCTTGGTCCTGGGAATCAAGGTTCATTGACAGTAAACCCTAAACCAAAACAAACCAATAAAGCTCATGTAAAGGTGGATTCTTATGAGGGTAGCGTGTAGAGATGCACATGGTTAACCATAAGGGTGGTGCCTGATTGGTTTGAGCTTGGCTCCAAAGACCAGGAGGTCCCAGGTTCAAATCTAATGAGAAATAAAAATCCTCTTGTGGCCACAGAGATTCAAAACAGGTGGTCGCCCTGGGATTAGTCGGCTCGCATAACGGGTTGGATATCCAGGTTAATAAAAAAAAAAAAGATGCACATGGCCTAGGCTTTTTCGGGACATTCCAAGCCTGTTAAAAAAAGCGCAGGTTTTTTCAGGCCTGGGTTTGGGGTTGAAAGAGGATCAGGCTTTTTTAGTCCAGGCTCTAACCGGGATATGAAAAAATAATTAGCGTTTGTGGCAAAATGGCGGGTCTGTCTATTCCTGATTCGGTTTGTTGACACTAGGGCCTATAGGAGGATCAAGTAGAAGAGGTCCATCAAAATCACATAAGCATGGATACATCATACATCTATGCCATAATTATCATGTCTAAAAAGGTTGTTTGGCAATTGCTTAATGATTTGGTGCAGAATGATTAACTGGTCAGAATTATTAAAAGACTCATGATATAGTGCAAAATGAAATATAATTGTTTGGTAATTGTGTACAATGAAATTAGGGCTCTTAATGGTTAAGGGAGATCCATGATACAAAATCATTCGGAGGGTTTTAAAACCATTAAGAGGCGGACCTTTTTTTTTTTGCCAAACAAGATTCACCTCTTAACGATTCAGATGTTGCCTTTTAATGGAAGGTAAACTAAGAGGCAAACGATAGTTGTCCCGTCTTTTATCCAGGTAGTAGCAACATTGTAGGCCCTGCTGAAATTGCTGATGGTACCAAAGGGTCATCGGCCCAAAGGTACTCGGGTTACCAGTAAATCTCACCCTCCCTAGAGGTCAAGGGTTCAAAAAAAAAAAAAAAACATTGCAGATGGCGGAGGCCAATTCTCTGGTTTAGGGTACTACTGCAACAGTTTACTTTAAAGAAATAACTCATAACTACATTAAATCTCATAATAAACTAAACCAAATGAACCCAGAAAAAACCCACACGAGGTAGGGTCCGAGGAGGGTAGGATGTATACAAACGTAAGTACAAGAAAGTTAAAAGCGGGCTCAAATTTGAGATGGGAGAAAAAACTAAGGGCTGGTGTACTATCATATATATATATACAAAAAGCCATGAGCCCATGGAAGCAAGGAACAAGGCAAAAGAGACCAAACATGAAGATGGAGTATTGGGGTGTGTTGTGTTCTGACACGAAAACATGGGCAAAAATGTAAAATCACATACGTTATCTACCTCACAGGCATGATGCCAAGTTCATCAACTACTTTTCACGGGTGATAGAACCTGCATGCTCTATGACTGATGTTTGCGAGACTCCACTGATCTCAAAAGTTGCTTTGGCAAAAAAACCAAATGGCTCCAGCAAACCTAGCAACCTCTGGCTAAACAGGTGCATCTGTATCATCAAATATGAAAATTTTCAACATCTATTAAGGCTATGTTTGGCAAACTAGCTGAAAAGCTAGCTATTAGCTGATAAACTAATTATGTTTCGTAAAGACTAGCTAATAAGCTTAGATGACAATATAAAATGATTTAAAAGAACATGTTGATAAATTAATTAGAAACATACAAGGGACATTGGAAAAAGAACCTGAAGCCTATTGAAACACTACTTGAAGTAGTTTTTCGAAAAACTAGCTTATGGGTAACCAAACAAAGCTTATTCAATATGCTCAAAAAATAAGCCAGCTTATGGTTGCCAAAATGGCCTAAAAGGGAGAAGATCCAAACTCCACAAAGTTGAACATTCTCTTCTTTTTAATTTTGTTTTTTTAAACGAAGCCGACCTTGAAACCAATAAGGAGACTCCTCTGTGAACAAAATGGCAGGGATTTAAATCAACGTAACAGACTCTTCACAAAATGGAAGGGAAGAACTGAATATGAAGATTTGCCTACCAGCTTGACAAAGCCTCGGTGCAAAACATTAACCTTTTTTGTGGCAAGGGGGCGTATGGTTAACCTAGAGAAACTATAAATTTCTTATTTTATAACACAGCATCTAGTTTTAATCATGTCCCAATTTCACAGTTTCATCTTTCAACCTCCATAAAAAACAAAAAAACATCATGATGCTTCCTGATCTCAGCTACAAATTACTGAAGATGAAAAATTCTTTTTAAGTTACAAAATAAATCTCATATCAAAATACCCCCTCTGTCACAAAGTAAATGTCCACAATAAAAAATTCACACAATTTTAGATATATAATTGTTAAACTTGTTAATAATGTGAATGAAAATTTTACTCTTCAATAAAAAATCACAGTTTCAAAATGTATAATTTATTCCACTAATGAACTTCTCCGTCTCAACTCTTAAATAAATGTACATCATAATTGAGGGTAGAATTGTGAATTTAGTGAACTGTAACTATCTACTAATGAAAGTGGACACATTTGGGACAAGCTTACATAGAAATGTGGACACTTGTTTTGGGACGAAGGGAGTACTAAATTATGGCTTAACTCACTACGAAAGTAGGCTAGTTCATGTATAAGAGAGTATATACCTTGCTCAAAGATGCCTCATTGTGCTTTCAAAGATTCACCACTTAATTCCCTCCTAACCAACTTCAGGATTTCGATAACCTGCAAAGAAAAGAAAAAAAATAGGTTATTGAAGCACCAAWTGAAAGCAAGACTGTTCATATTAGTTTATACCAATGATGTACACAGTCAACAAGGACATTTTGATCTGAATTTCTGTTTTTCGGAATAAGACATGCTATAATGACCATATAGTAGCAAAGTAGAAAAACACGGTTATATAGTTTTTGAAAAACGAAAGATAGAGAAATATTCTTGTTAAATAAATCATTCTTGTCTTACCCCCGGGTAATGTTGCAAGACGGGCGAGTAATGATCAAGAGCTATATATATCTTCTCAAGAAGGCCTAAAAGTGTTTCGACTTCATCACCCAAAAGATCAACCTGGATCCAAAGAAAATATCAAGAATTTAAAAAGACGATCTTCAAAAACTAGTTTATCATCAGCATAATGATGTAGAAAAGCAGCAGAAAGATGAAGGCTGGTGTAAGATCTTTTCAAATGTGCAAGCCTTCTTTCTCCCTCATCTAATTAATGATGGATATGCTCTATGAGATGTTCTTGCTTATTGGTTTGCAAAGATCTGGGAAAAGAATGACTAGTTCACATTCACGCAACATTGTATAATAACTTCACTCATTACAGCTGGGATGAACGTGGAGTACAGATGCACAAAAAAGCCCGAGCCGAGGCCTTAAAGCCTGATCAGGCCAATTTTATTTAAAAAACACCCATCCTAGAAAGCATGATCGGGACTATTTTCACACCCACAGCCCAGGCCCGGCCCGAATAAGCCTGGGCCTTGTGCATCTCTATAGTGGAGCAACAGGTTTACCACTTGTGACATCAAAACTCCATGTCGTGAAAAACAGCAACTTTTGGAAAGCACAAGACAAAGGCTGCCTACAAATAATTTCCTCCCCAACCAGCCAAGAAAGATTGGTGCACCGATATCACCTATTACTTTTAGTGATATACGAGAGTCACATCATATAGAATAAGTGGGAAATATATACTATTTCAAGTGAAAGAAAAAAGCCGCCCCGCCACAGCAGGCGGGTTGCTTCCTCTGTCGTCGCCGGGAAAAGAATGCTTTTGCATTCCAAGCGCAAGTAAAAATCCCATAAAGCATTTTCTTAATATAATCAGATGCATCAAGTAAAGCAAAATGGGTATGTTTCACATTACATGTATAGAGGGCATAAATCCACTCCAACGATTGAATCTTAAATTTTACATACCTCTTTTTAAACGGTCCAAATTTTTATATTAGTACTGAATATTATATACATATTAAAAGAAAACTAATTAGTCTGCTTCCAAATAAGAGGATATAATGCACAAATATCTAGTCTGAATGCCCGATCAATGCTTATTATTGTCACATAGTTTGGATCATGAACGCCATCAAGAAAATGGGAAAGGAAAAAAAAGACTCTGTAGATGATGCAATGTAAATTACCCTTCTTGCAACCTTGCAACTTACAGAAAACTACTTCATAACCTTCTCCATATATTAGAATATTCCTTATACACGATTTTAGCACCTAGCCATGTTGACAACAAGAAAATAGCAAAGCAAAAAGAAACAAGCAGAAGATTATGCTTCAGATTTTCATTATTCCATAACCTTTTTCGACCCTCCAATGACTGACATGGTTATGTAACTAAAACAAAACAGTCTAGTATGGGGACATTTGAATTGTGAAAAAGAAAATGCTTAGATGGCAAGGTCACATGAACACAAGGCATCACAATGCTACTTGAATTAGAAGCAGTCAAAAAGAATGGTTAAAGAAGAAGGCATCAAAAGTAAATAGATGAATTCAGGGAAACTGTATACTTATTTTAGCTCCTACAAAAATCTACAAAGAAAAAGCCTTCAACAAGCAGTCATCTAACAATCTCAGGACAACAAAACTTGGGACAAATTTTTATTAAAATTAGCTGCATTAACAGTTAATATGTGTCAAGCATCCATAGCTACAAAAATATCTCACCAACCTAATCATATTAAAGAAAAGACTTTGTGCCTTCTGTTATTCAGTACCATTATCACCTCCCATTTGTTAATGTTGTTTATAATTATGATATAGTTATGGCAGAATTGGAAAGAAAGCAGCTCAACTAAACAGGCTCACTTGTCAATAGTGTGGAAAAAGACAATGTCCCGCCAGGAAACCAACAGGAACACTTCAACAGGCAACTATAATGGTCTATATACTGGATAAGTCCCAAAATGTTTTAAATAACTAATTGATCTCATGAAGCAAGGAACAAATTTATAGAGCTCAAAACAAAGAAAACACAAACCCTATGAAAAAATAGCAGTATATTTACTGTAGGTGATTGAATAAAGTTATTGCACTCGACAGAATTTAAATGAGAGTACCAGAAAGAAGTCATACTGCAAAGGATTCTACATTAATGATTTTGTGTTCTACTACAGTAATTTAAACTCAAATGCAGATATAGCATCTCAGCTATAATGCGAACGTCAAATTTGATTGCAAAAATGAGAAACTGCTCTTTGCTACAAATTCCAAATGTAAGATTCATAACAAAAGAATTTCCAAGAATTACCTCATCCTCAGCCATTTGAAGGTCGGAACATTTACTTTCAAGCTTCTGTTTGTATAGGAGCCCTGTGCTTTTAAGTACGTTAGCTGGCTTGATGAGAGAACTCAACTGAGATCTTGAATTTTCCAACCTAAACAGTTTGACATAACCTAACTAAATCAGCCATGTCTATGAACAAGTCTATCTCTTCAGTTCAAAAGGAAAACGGTTTACGAAAGAACAATAAGGATCAAACTAAATGGAGACCTTGTGTTATTATTTGAAATATGTGTTGTTACCCTCCACTCAAAATCAACAAACTTTGTTGATAATTCATCGACGAGAACAACTACCGCCTCCATCTGCTTCCTATGTTCTTTCTCTTTCGCTTCAGTCAGTGACAGAAGACTCTGTTTCTCCTCGGAAAGAGCAAGAAACATGTTCTTATAGTCAACTAATGCTCTTATCTCCTCCATTGCCAGTTCAAGCTTCTGGTTGAGGGAGTTTATTTCCATTCTATCAGATACAAGTTTCTCTTCTGCTTTCGATAACTTGCCACCCATCTCATCCAGCTTCTTGTTGGTCTTCGACATCAGTGTTTCCTGCCAACTTGCCTGTTTTCTTAAATTATTAAGCTCGCCCAAAGCTAGTTCAAATTGTTCTCTTTCTTTTGTCAGTTCCCTTGCTAATGTTTCCTTTTCTTCAACTAGGCTTCTTAGGGAATGCACCTCACTCCTTAATCTTTCTCTCTCTTCACCTCCCAATTTTAGTTCAACCTCCCTTTCAATTGCCTTCTTTTTAAGGGAAACCAGATTTTCATTGGTGGTTATATATTCCTTGTGCAGATTCTCAAACTTTTGCTCAACATCGGCTAAAGCTTCTTTGAATACAGTATCCAACAGTTCTTGCATAAAAAATGACTCCATATATGTGTCTTCAATTGCACAATCACTAGTATCTTTCTGACCATCACTAGCTACTCCTAATAAAACCTCATAGATATCCTGCATTGCAATAATACCTAGCTCTGATTCTTCTTTCATGTCTTGGATCTGGCAACATAGCTTCCCAATAACACTTTTGTATACATCTTCCACAATCGAAGCTTCTATACATGTATCTGCCACATATGTTTCATGGTTCTTCACCAACTTTTGGAAGTTCGCAGCAGATGAAGCATGTTGCAACATCTTCTCAGAAGCAACTGAAAGTTGGGTTGATAGATGCGTCACTTCCTTCTCCTTAGCTGCAAGTGAGTCTCTAAGTTGGCGATTTTCTCTTATAAGAGTGTTAAGGCTGTTATTGAGAACATTAATGCTAGCAACACTATCACCCCTTCCAATAAATTCACCACTTTCAGAAAGGATGCCGTCCAATTTGGAAACAACTTCAGGAATCTTCCTCCTTAATATTTCAAATTCCTTATTAGGCAGAGAAAGGGAGCGCCTTTCACTCAGGTATTTCCCCTTCAAACTTATATAGCTCTCGGTCATCTGCTGCACCTTAGATTCATGTTCCCTCTTTATCTTAGATATCATATTGTTGAAAAAATTTACCAAATCCTCACCCTTAAGGTGGCTTAACTCAGCAGCATTAAAACTATCAGGAACGCTAGGTTTAGACTCGTCTGACATCCCATTTTCCCCCCATCTTAAAGACAGTTGACTCCTCAAGGGGTTGCCATGAGTATTATCCATATCAAAAGAACCATGAGAGACTAAATGCCCTGACTCACAACTTGGGAGCAACTTGATCAATGCCTCTAACTCATGTCGTAGACCTGAAATGTTGCTAAATTTCTTGGCCAAAACAATACTTTGACTTCCACAGCAAGAAGCATTTTGACCCCAAAGTTCCTCTTGAAACTCTTTCCGAATGGATCTAATGGAACTCTGTATTACCATATCCTCAAGTTCTCCTTTTAAGTCATGCTCCTGTTGCCAATCACTAAGTGACGTTTTAGAAAATATAAGCACGGTATCTACCAGCCTAGATATGTTGTTGATTGTCATTTCCAGATTATCTACGGTTTTTTCTAGACCCACACAGTTCTCATACTCCTTCTCTTTCAATATACCACCCAACCCCACCATTTCATGACAAGATCCATTTCTCTTTATTTTACAACCTCGGGCACCTTCAATCTGTTTCCTAAGCCTCTTAAACTGATCTGTAGCAGACTTTCTCAAGACAAGCGATGACTCCTTCATTTTATCATGCTTTATGCAAGCGTCTTCAAAATTTGCATACCCTTTAAACTCCACTGTGTTTGGTCCATGAGTTCCTTGCAACCACCACGACTCGTTTTGATCTCCATTCAAATTGAGACATTGCAGAGACCGCTTTAAGCTTGCAAGTTCCAATTCTTTTGCCTTGATTTTCTCATCTGCCTCTTGTTCAACAGCACTAACCATTCCCCTGATCACAGAATCACTCACCATTCGAGAAACCCTGAGTCGGTGATCTATATCTTCCATCATTATATCAAGATCTTCTAAAAGATCAACATCCACCCTGCCGCTGTTTTCTACACCAACCCCATCTTGTTTGGAATCGAATCCATTACCAGATGAAGTACAGACATTTAAATCATCAACTCCATCAGAATTATGACAAGCCATAGTAGTCTCTATCACCTCTTGACTCTCCATATTAAAAGATTATACCTGTGAAAGCATATAAGTTCATAATTACACCAACCCACGACTAAAACAAGAAACTCTCCAAAAGTCAACATTCAGACACCCACAAAGAAAGAGAAAAGTAAGCCGCACAAATTAACCGACTGATTACAAGCAACGTGCCTATAACATTCAAAAAATTTGAAGTTAAAGATGATTAGTAAGTAAAAAAACCTAAGAGAGATAAAATAAAAGAAATCGGGCTTGAAATTATAACAAAATTGAGTTAAAAATTAGCAGAAATTCAGCTTCATCAGTAACTAAATCCTCGAGTAAATATAGAAGTAACTGAATTCAACTTTTTCACGTCACCATTCTTCACACTCCAAATTGGAAATTGAAGAGCAAATAACAGAAATTAAAACAGCAAGAGTTACGAATACTTACAAAAGTAAAGATGATAAATTAATCGCCAACAAAAGCTGAAAATATGAGAATCTTGAGCCTTCCTCCAAATAGATGGTGCTGGAAACCACTCTCTCTCTCTGTCTCTCTCTCTCTCCAGTTAGGGTTTTGTTGGACGAGCAATTTTCGGTGTTTCGGAGAGAGAAGCGGGAGTGGTTAAAACATAGGAAAGACATAGCAGGCCCCTCACCTTTCATATATTTACATTTTGCTCCATCTTCTTTTGAAGATTTTTCATATCGCACAATACAGTGAGATAAATCTCAATTTTAGTATTTAGTTTTCATTTTTTTGTTTCTATAGGTATAATACGATTTTACGTGGTTTTGTGAAAACGATAATACTTTATTTTTGAATAAAATATAAATTTGAAGATATATACAAATTTAAAAAAAATCGATATTAGTATTAAATTAACAATTTAATAGTTCTCTTTTTTTTTGTGTAACTTCTTTAATTCAATTTTTTATTATAATTTAATTTAGATTTAATAACAAAGTAGTTTATTTTTGGTTTTATAATATATATTTTTATAAAGATAACAAGTAAACATTCTGTTATAACTCAATAATTATCTTAATTATATTTTAAATTGATGTTTATCTTGTATTTGATTATGTTTATCTGCAGTTAGTTACACGAATTCAAAAATTGAGTTTTAATAAGTTGTATTTACGTAAAATTACTTGTAATCTTGAATTTTAAGTAATATGCATCAACAAGCAGTACTTCATGCATAAAAAATAGTTTTTGAGATTTTTTGTCAAATGCTTTATAATATAGTATAGATAAATATTCTTTATAACTTTTTAAAATAAAGAGCTAAAATTTAAATTATAAAAAAAGAACATTCAAGTTTATAATAATATTAAATTATACTAAAATAATATTAATCATAGTTTTGTTGTTATTTGATCAAGATTTTAAATAGTCTGAGGCATGGTGTGGTGGCGAGGTCAAACTTTAAACCTTACGAGTTACGGCGACGTCATGGCGTTTCCAAAACGTGACTTAAGGCAGAAAATCTGTATATACGGTATATATATAGATGTCTATATGAGCCAGTGTATTGAACAATACCGATTAAAATAAATAAATTCATATAAGAGTATAAACAAAACAAGAAGCATGCATTCATAATCTGATATCGAATATACAGAATTTGCAAATATAATTTTATTAACGGCTTCATAATCCCTATAGCTGTAATCTAGAATTTTAATATCATAAATTAGATGTATCTTATAAAAAAAATTATCATTCCATGTGATCTTAAATCGTCATCGAAATTGAATTCAAAATCTTCATCATCTTCAACTTGTGGATAACGAATTCCCACTTCCAGTGAATAATTATAATCATCAATATTTGTATAAGCCATAGTTTGTATATATGTGTATGTGTGTGTGTGTGTGCGCGCGCGTGCTCAAACAAGAACACCTCCATTTTATGAAAAACATGAGAACATCATTATCACATGTGACAATACGTATGAGGGGACCCTATGATGTGCGAACGACGTAATCTACGACTTAGCCCGCGTCAAATATTGTTTGCGTCTATGATTTACCATCACATGTTATGGTCTTGATGAATTATAGTATCATATCGACAACACCCTTATCACATGTGATAATACATATGAGGGGGCTTAGTGGTGTAAGGGTCAAAAGCACATACAAATATTAATTATTGAATATGATTTATTTTATTTCAGATAATTAAGTGTAGCCATGAAAAACAACACAAAGCTGAAAAAAATAAAATGAATGAGCAAAAACAGTAATAAAATTAATATGGGAGAAGAAATTATCAATAGCGTAACGGTATGGAAGTGTTTATGTATTTTTGAGGTTTAAAGTTCGAGTCATGTGATGAATTTTTTTTATTTAGTAATAACATCATTGAACCTAAGCATTTTTATGTATAAATATATAACATAAGATATATATATATATATATATATATATATACACTTGGGATCATGTGAGACTAAGGGTTTTTCGTGAGAACTGTAAGACCAATTCTCAACCCTTGGATTAGATCTACAATATGACAATCTGAACATTCATAAACGCCACGAGACTTCTCAATAATAACAAAATTGTCACCGTGCAACCTTAAACCATTAGATCATTACATTATAAAGTTAATCAATGAACATAAATTGGTCTTATGGGTCTCACGAAAAACCTTTGGTTTCACGTGAACCCAGCCATACATATATATATATATATATATACACACTTAGGATCATGTGAGACCAATGGTTTTTCATGAGACTCGTAAGACCAATTTTCAATCATTGGATTAGATCTACAATCTGAACATTCATAATCACGAAATTGCCACGAGACTTCTCAATAATCACAAAATTGTCACCGTACAACTTTAGACCATTAGATCATTAGCTTATAAAGTTGATCAATGAATATAAATTAGTCTTACGTGTCTCACGAAAAACCCTTAGTCTCACGTGAACCCAACCATATATATATATATATGTGTGTGTGTGTGTGTGTACACACATATACATATACATATACACATCATAGTAGAACGAGAGAAAGGTCTGGTGCTCAACTCTAGACACCACATATCTCTTTTAGGACACGTGATTTACTTCGATGATTGTGGGACATGTATAATAAAAGTACTTTAGATGACGAACTCGTACTTTTTTCTTGTAAACTAAGATATGTAATTGAGTTTCTCACGATAATTATGAGACCGATATAATAGGAGAAATTTCGGATGATGATGACATGGCTTTTTTTTGCATAAATTATATATATATATATATATATATATATAGGGGAGCGATCAAATGTAAACCACTCAATTTGTACAAACCGTGCAAACCGCATTCAACCAATCATAATTTTTCATTTTGTTCATTTTTTTGTAATTATGAGAGGTTGATTAATCATTTTTATTGTGGAGGGTGTTAATCATAGATATTATCATCTTCATAATTTTAATTTTAGAGAAATACATGAAACAGTTTCATTAATGTTAGAGAAATACATGGAACAGTTTCATTAAGTATTATATGAAACAATTTCACAACCATATATGAAACAACTTCATAAAAAAAAATTATTATATGAAACAATTTCACAAGATTAAACAATTTCATGAAAAAATTTCATAAGATTAAACAATGAAATCGACAGATGAAAGTGGTTTGCACGGTTTACACAAATGAGGGCGGTTTTCATATGATCACTCCTCTATATATATATATATATACTCATTATTGTCTATATTTATGAATTCTGGTTGTTTGTCAGTTGCTGAATGGTTTGGTGCTGGATAGTTAAGTGGTCAGAATGGTTAAGAGGCTCTCATGATATAGTGCAAAATAAAATATTATTATTTGGTAATTAGTTACAATGAAATTATGGTGCTTAATGGTTAAGGGAGACTCATGATACAAAATTATTCAGAATGTTTTAGAACCATTAAAAAACAAACTTTTTTTTTGTCAAACAAGATTAACCTCTTAATAATTCAGATATTGTCTCTTAATTGAACTATTAAAAAGTAAACAAACAACCCTTAATATTCATCAATAAAATTATATAATTAATGTGAAGTGAATGCTATTATGAATTTTTTTAGAACACATAAAATAAAAAATTCATAAATATTATGTATATTTTGCATTTAGTTTATAAAAAGATAATATAAACAATACATTTTTAGAATTAAAACAGTCTACGATATCGTAGTTCCTAAAATATTTTGTAATCATAATATGTGAAATTGAAATTTCATACACACAGTCAGTATACATATAATGGCCCCTACTGAGTTGTATTACCGACAAGAAGGCGGGAATCTTAAAGTGAGATGTCATAATTAAATATGGATTTCATTAATTTTCATATGAAACATAATTATGTTTATTCCTCCGTGATGAATGTGGAACCAGTGTGACAGAGACACCTGAGAGGATGGCTTAAGGACAATGTACATATTAGTTTTACAACTGCTTTGTTTTAGTATGCCATACGAAAACTGATCACATTTGATTTTTTTTTTAGTTTTCATATGATGAATATCTGTATCATTTTTCAAAAACTAAGGGGTCGTCTATTAAACGCTTACTGGTAAGTGCTTATAACGAGAACCTGTGAGACGGCTAGTATACAAAGTGCGCGATCATGACAAGACTCGAGGGGCTTTATCATATTTAGTCGGAAGAGTTTAGGTAAGAATTCAAATAAGGACCTCAAGTTCTTAATTATAATTCAGTGCTCTCTGAACCGTGCGGGAAAAGGCTCGTCATATCACTTTATCTTAACAGATAAACATGACAAAGATTGAGAATATTACCCTGTAAGAACGATGATAAAGACCGAAAGTCTTATTCGATAAGTAAGAGTAACGACGTTTACCATGTAAGCGTTTATTGTTGCACATGATGTTGTTTTGATGAACTAAAATCTTACCAGGTAAGTTAAGTGAAAGTGTTGATTCTTACCAGAAAACAAGTCGTTTTGACGGGACGTACTAAACCCACTACGTACCACACCACCGGGCAATAAATGGCATTTTTTTACGTGCTTTATCGCCTCGTGCTTGTTCAAGAAAGAGATAGTCCCTTTGACAGTTTACTAGGTAAATGGCCTCTAAGTAACATCAAGCATTGCATAAAAATCTGATTTTTTTTCCATCGATACTTTACTCTTATTATTAATTATATTGATGACTTGATGCTGGTCATAACTTATACGTAGGTCATATTTGTTAGCTGCTTAATAAACTTAATAGGATTTACAGGTTATTCGGTCAACCATACATGATTGTTTGCTAGCAACTTAATGATATATAAAGTGGCTTACTCAGTAAACTTTTAGGGGAGAGACTTTATGCAGAAAAACAAGCTTATTCCAAACCCGCTCTTCCGAATTAAAAACCACATTTTTTTCCATCTATGAAAAAACTTTCTCAATATATACAGACCGATTAGTCCACACATACAACTTATCAATGTATGATCTAATGGAAAACCAACCAAATAGTAGAACCAATAAAACAAATAAAGATTCTTTTGCCGATATTATTACCAGTATTCTTTACTGG